AATTCAAGCCTAATTCTACCACGGACCTCCAAATCACATTCCAAACACGCTCCTATGTCCAAAATAACCTAACGGAGCTAACAGAACAATCAAAATTCAAATCCAAGACTGTTTACACATAAGTCAACATCTGGTCAACTTTTCCAACTTAAGCTTCCAAATAAGAGACTGTGTGTCTCAGTTCACTCCGCAACCACTCCGGACCCAAACCAACTAACCCGGTATATCATAATATAGTTGTAGAACACAAAAGAAATAGGAAATGAGGGAACAGGGCTATAACTCTCAAAATGACCGGTCGGGTCATTACAGAACGGGTGGGTGTTTGTGCAATCGCGTAAGTCTGAGGGCTAGTGCATCGCGTTCGAGTGGATATTCCCCCGTTCGTGTAAGGTTAATTTGTGGGGAAGCATAGTTGTGATTCATGATCGCAGAGCATTTTCCGCGATCGTGATGAAGGACTCTGGGCAGAACATAAATATTTCAAAAACGAGGGTTCGAGTTCATATCACAAATCTGATTTTGGGAGCTCAATTAGAGGTGATTCTTGGAGAGATTTTCAAGGTAGTGATTGGGGTGTCATTCTTAATTAGTTTTGGTTAAATTCCATGATTATATCTTTGATTTCATCATTTAATTAGTGATTTGGATTGGGAAATTGGGAAAAATGGAGAACTTCTTAGGCCAAATTTTGGGGATTTGAGCAAGATTTTGATATCGGATTTGAGTAAATTTTGTATGGTTGGAATCATGGTTGGATGGGTATTCGAATTTTGTAATTTTTATCCGATTCTGAGACGTGGGCCGGGGGTTGACTTTTGAGTTGACTTTTTGATTTTTTTATTAAGAACTTAGTATTTTCTTATGGAATTGATTCCTTTAGCTTGTGTTGATTGTATCAAATTGTTTATGGCTAGATTTAAGGCATTGCAAGGCCGATTCACGAGGCAAGGGCTTTTTGGAGTAGAGATTTTCTCAGTTTGAGGTAAGTAACACTTCTAAACTTGGTTCTGAGGGTATGAATACCGAACTACGTGTTATGTGATTGGTGTTGAGGTGACGCGCATGCTAGGTGACGGGACTGTGGGCGTGCACCGTAGGAATTGTGACTTGGTAAATTCTGTGGAACTGTATAGTTGCATGATCTTGTTGATATCCGTATATTCTCCATGTGTTAGATAAATTGAGCTGCGAGTCATGTTAGAAATCATGCTTAGGCTACATGCTAATACTGTTGGGACCCACAAAAGGTCGTGTTGCAAGTTGAATTATTTGCTTAATTTGCAACTATGTACTCAGTCACAGCTATTATTTGCATGTCATATCTCAGTCTCTGTTGCTATTTATTAATACATCATATCATCATTGTTTGGGGCTGATTATCATGTTTCTTGCGAGCCTGAGAGATTGGAGAGATTGATGACTGAGTGAGGCCGAGGGCCTAAATGTGAGGATATTTATAGGATCGGACTGCACGCCACAACATGTTTTATTGATTAATGCCATGATTGGCTTACAATAGCGCTTGGGCTGGATTTTCCCCTCCAGAGTCTGCACACCCACAATGAGCGCAGGTACCTACTGAGTGCGAGTGCGAGTGCCGAGCGCGACTGCTGAGTGACTGTGAGGAATGAGTGACCGTGAGGATGGAGTGAATGGGAGGACTGAGCAATTCATACTCTGAGAGTATGCATATGATTTCATCGTTGTTCTCTACTTCAGTTGGCATATATATCTGACATGTAGATATCGAGATGCATCATTTATTATTTCAGTTGTACTTGACATATCTCACCTGTTTGGGCTTTAACTTTAGAACTTGAGAGCATGTCTACATTTGTGTATCGCATTTATGTAATTGAACTATACCATGTGATGCTCGTCACTGCTTTCATCCCTATAGTTAGACTTGTTACTTACTGAGTTGGTTGTACTCATGCCACACCCTGCACTTTGTGTGCAGATCCAGGTGTTTCCGGACACGGTGGGTGCTGATTCTTAGAGTTGTTCAGTCATTTAGAGATTTTTAAGGTAGCTGCTCTGGCATCCACAGACCTTGACTCTCCTCCCCTATCCCTCTATTTTTGTTTATTCAGTTCTAGTTTCTTAGACAGTGATTCAGACTATGTATTTGTATAGATGCTCATGCACTGACACTCCGATTTTGGGAAACTTCTCTATTGAGTTGCGACGGTTTTATCAGTTTTATGATACTTTTATTTATTTAAACCTATTTTAGCATATCTTAAATTTGAAAGTGTTGGAAACGTTTGAGTAATCGGCTTGCCTAGTACCATGATAGGCAGCATCACAACAAGTTGAGTTTTGGGTCGTGACAACAGACCACATTGATACACATTTCCTTCACCTATGAAGGATTATTTTGAAAACTCTTATTATTCTCCTTTGTACAATTACCATAATGATAACTAATATTATTTCGGTCTTTGGCACGTCCGCGTTCATTGGCCAACCACTTGTCTTTATTTAAACTTATTATGCACCACTACCACATTCACTTCAAGAATGGAGTAAATCAAGTGGGACAAGCTTCATGTTTTTTTATGAAAAATACTTATTTTTCTTTAGTCATCATTATATCATCAGCATGGTGCATTGGTACTCAAACCCAATGCCTTACCTATATAAAGGCATGTTAGGCCATAACGAGTTGGGACTCAAACCCAAATCTCATTATCATTGTAACGACTCGGCCGGTTATTTTGAGTGTTGTAGCCACGTTCCCCCATTTACTTCTTATTCCATGCTTAATTGTTTTTATGTGACTTTCCGGAGTGGCTGATTCGGTTCCGGGGATGTTTCAGAATGCGATGAGACATTTAGTCTCAAGGATGGAAGCTTGAGTTGAGACGGTTGACAGGATGTTGACTTATGTGTAAATGACTCCAGAATGGAGTTTTGATGGATCTGATAGCTCGGTTAGGTCATTTTAAACTAAGGAGCGTGTCTGGATAGTGATTTGGAGGTCCGTAGTTGACTTAGGCTTGAAATGGCGAAAGTTAGAAAATTGGAAGTTTTGGAAATTGAGAAGTTTGACCAAGAGTTGACTCTGTGATTATCGGGCTCGAATTTTTGTTTCGGGGGTTGGAGTAGGTCCGTTGTGTCATTTATAACTTTTGTACAAACTTTAAGGTCAATCGAACTTGATTTAATAGGTTTCGACATCGGTTGTAGAAGTTGGAATTTCTTAGTTTTTATTAGGCTTGAATTGGGGTACGATTCATGTTTTTGATGTTATTTGATGTGATTTGAGGCTTTGACTAAGTTCGTATCGTGTTTTAGGACTTGTTGGTATGTTTAGTTGATGTCCCGGGAGCCTCGGGTGGAGTTCAAATGGTTAATGGATCAAAGTTTGGAATTTAAAGACTGCCGAAGTTGAGTCCGAAACTTAAATAGTGCCTTTTTGGGCACAAAATACCTTTTTACAGTTAAAAAAAAAGTTACATAACTACATAATTCGCAGTATAATACTGCGAATTACTTTAACGGAAAGTTAGCCGTTAAAGTGATTCGCAGTATTATACTACGAATTATTAAAAAAATAATTTTTTTTGATAAAACTCAGTACTATACTGCGATCAACACAATTCGCAGTATAATACTGCGAATCGCTATAATAAAATATAGCCCCTTCTTCTTCCCCAAGATAACGACAGTGGTGAATCCCCCATTTTAAAACTCCATCACTGCTCGTCCTCCCCCCCTCCCCCCGCGAAATTATAAAAAAAAAAAGTTGGGCCCCACCCGTCACCCAAAAAGCGAAGAGTGTAGGTCCCGCACATAGCATAAGCCTTGGATTCCTTCTTTTAGGTTCAAAAAATCGATTTGGATCATTTTCAAAAAACTTAAATCGAGGTATTTCGATTTTGTTTATGTCGAAACTCGTAGAGTATATGCATATTTATTTTGTTGAATGTGTTTTCATGTGAATTTGTGTTATGTTTGTGTTTAAATTTATATCTTATTTATACCCGGATTGATTTATTAGCTTTGGGACAAAAAATAGTTAAAAATTGATAAATAANAGGATAACTTGGTGCTATCGGGCCTTAAATGTCGAGGCTGGAACCCATAGATAATTACTCAGTCCAGCTGGGGAAACAATTATTTAATTTATTAAACTAACAAAATTCTAAAAATGTTGAAACTGACACACATAATAATTAAGGATAACTTGGTGCTGCCGAGCCTCAAATATCGAGCTTGGAACCCATAAATAATTACTNTCTACAAAATTAATTATTTAATTTATAAAAATAAACTTACAAAACTAACAAATTAATATATGTTGTCAAATTAACTCAATATCGAGCCTGCAACCCATAGATAATTACTCAATGCAATTATAAAAATAATTATTTAATTTATTAAACTAACAAAAATTTTAAAAATGTTGAAATTGACACACATAATAATTAAGGATCACTTGGTGCTGCCGGGCCTCAAATATCGAGCTTGGAACCCATAGATAATTACTCAGTCCAATTATAAAAATAATTATTTAATTCATTAACCTAACAAAATTCTAAAAATGTTGAAATTGACACACATAATAGTTAAGGATAACTTGGTGCTATCGGGCCTTAAATGTCGAGGCTGGAACCCATAGATAATTACTCAGTCCAGCTGGGGAAACAATTATTTAATTTATTAAACTAACAAAATTCTAAAAATGTTGAAATTGACACACATAATAATTAAGGATAACTTGGTGCTATCGGGCCTGAAATATCGAGGCTGGAACCCATAGATAATTATTCAGTCCAACTGGGGAAACAATTATTTAATTTATTAAACTAACAAAATTCTAAAAATGTTGAAATTGACACACATAATAATTAAGGATAACTTGGTGCTACCGGGCCTCAAATATCGAGCCTGGAACCCATAGATAATTACTCAGTCCAATTATAAAAATAATTATTTAATTCATTAAACTAACACAGACAAATAATTTTGTTTAAATTATAGTAGACGACATGGACTTGCCGTATGCGCATCCTGGACCAGCCGAGGATCAACTATTAGTGCTGCAGGGCGACCATAGGTCCTCATTTGTATGGGAGGGACAGCTATCGGATCAACCTCTCTGCCCCAGGAGACCTGACGACTTGTGGGAGTTCTTGAGGCAGCATCAATTCCATGCCCGCGTAGTCGCGCGCCTACAGGCTACGGGCTTCTTTACGATTTTGCAGATTGGGCGGATACAGCTTGATTGGTCTCTCATCACCGCATTGGTAGAGCGGTGGCGACCGGAGACACACACTTTTCACTTGCCCACTGGAGAGGCCACCATCACGCTTGAGGATGTTCAGGTTTTGTATGGGCTGCGCGTAGATGGACGGGCCGTTGCACTGCCCCAGTACATGAGATCCATGATGCGTGCCCAGTATTTGGATTTGATGGGGCAGTATACTGGTTACAGACCTCAGGGTGACGCTATACAGAGATGGCGCAGTCACGTTTCTTTGTCAGCTATCAGAGACCATATGGCGTTTTTGCACTCAGACATTACCGGCGAGACACAGGATCTCCATATTGAGCGGTACACGAGGTTGGCGCTGCTCCTGCTTTTTGGGGGTGTCTTGTTCCCGAACACTTCCGGAAGTAAAGTGAGTATGCGCTTTCTGCATCATCTGCAGCAGCTAGATGAGTTACCCCTGTACAGCTGGGGTGCTGCTGTTCTAGCATACCTGTACCAGAGTATGTGCCGGGCGAGCATGCTTTGCCAAGTGGATATATGTGGTTTTCTGCCCCTTCTACAGGTCACAACATTTTCGAATACTCTGTTCATTACTCTGAATTCTATATGGTCGAAATGACTCTTAAATTTTACATCAACCTTTTATCTTAGGTTTGGGCCTGGCAGCGGATCATGCCGTTGCAGCCACCTCTGCCACCACTAGAGCCGGGTGAGGCTTATCCGTATTCCGGCACCACCTTCATTTACCCAGGAGGCCACTATTCAGCTATATACGTCATGGTACCGCCGTCATACCCGACTGATGATCGGGAACCCTATTCATGCACTTGGCAAGCGCTACAGACCATACGCCGGGAGGCACGAGGCACTGGTATGTTTTTGTGGCTTATTAATATCTTATAATTGTGATATAGCATTATTTATTAATATTTTAAATGTTTCACAGGCTATTGGGCATCACCTGGTCTACCAGTTGGGACAGGAGATACAGTAGCATGGCGACAGTGCTGCAATCGTTGAGTATGGCCGGCGGGTGGCAGAGCTGGCTCGTCGGACCCTGTTTCAAGCAAGAGATGGCGCGAGGTTGGATCACGAGGCTCAGTATGTGGCTCCAGAGGACTACCATCGGGGTAGGGCTGTCCCACGAGGCAGGGTTAGGGCACGAGGGAGGGGTGCCCCACGAGGCAGGGGTGCCCCACGGGGTCGCAGGGGACGGCGAGGAGGTGCTCCCCAGCAAGGGGGCGTTGAGGCACCTGTTGACCCACCTGTTGACGGACATGATGAGTATTTTGGAGATGAGGATCTTGGAGATGATCAGCCGGATTATATCCCTCGGGTAGATGAGCCTTCTAGCAGCATGCCGTCGTACAGCCTTCAGCTATCTCTGCCAGCATCGCAGGACACCCCGTCAGGAGCATTGTTGATCACGGGTACATTCGACGGGGATGTAGACCAGTTCTTTGCAGGCCCATATACCGCAGCTGAGCATCGTCCGACCCGGGACGTGGATGACGGGCGCAGGTTGAGTTATGCCTCATCCCCGGTGGTTGATGCGGATCTACCACAGGCGCAGGTATGTTTTGTATTACTGTGAAATTTCAATTTGTTTTCTTTTCCTTAATGATTTCCCATAAATTAATTTTTAATTTTCTTATTAAGGCTTTGTCCCAGCCCATCACGGAGGCCACTGTATGCACTGATGAGGATACCACGGAGGCCGACGAGACCATGGTGAGAAAATGGCTTTGATTTAACACGTACAATACTAATATACATTTTTCACATGCTAAGCTTAGTACTTGTTTTGTAGGTTGCTGACGGCCCGACGGCCTTTTCTACCGATCCTGCCAGCTGTACTGTCGATGCTGCTGCGCATCCTCACATAAAGAGGCGACTTGATGATGATGATCCTGATAGTGTACCCGGGCGACAGGGGATGCGACTCAGACCAGCAGCAGCACTGAAGCACACAGGCTGCGGGACTTAGTGATTTACTTTTGTTTGTACTTTGTAAAAATACTACATTATGTAAGTAATTGCAACAATTATATTTTAACAATTATTTTGTACATAACAACGATACCAATTTATCGTACTCCATTGTAAGCGGCAATTTGACATGACACTGTGGAGGTGAGCTATACCTCACAGAGTTATTCTCGAGCACAACTTCACCCCCCCCCCCCAATATAATGAAACCCTTATTTTTGGCTCTTCAGACATTATAAAAAAAATGATTGATAAGAAGAAGAGAGAAGTATGAACAGAAGTTTGAAGGAATGTTTTGAATGAATTTTCATAAAATTCAAACGCCTTTAAATAAGGCAAGTCCGAGCTTGGTATGCAAATTTTTTAAATATAAATCGCAGTACAATACTGAGTTTTATCAATTTGAATTATTGTTATGTCAGTTATCCGCAGAGCACTTATTGGTGGGCCCAAATTTAAAAGCGATTCGCAGTATTATACTGCAAATTGTGTTGATCGCAGTATAGTACTGAGTTTTATCAAAAAAAGTTATTTTTTTAATAATTCGCAGTATAATACTGCGAATCACTTTAACGGCTAACTTTCTGTTAAAGTAATTATACTGCGAATTACGTAGTTAATAACCTTTTTTTTTAACAGTAAAAAGGTATTTTTTGCCCAAAAAGGCATTATTTAAGTTTTGGACTCGCTGAAGTTTGCTAGTGTTCAGGTATGGTTTCCTTCTATGCGATCGCGTGGATAGGTCCGCGATCGTGAAGTCTTGTTTGGGGCAGCTGGGAATTTTACCCTATGCGTTCGCGAGCAGGAGTATGCGAACACGTAGGTTGGTCATGCAGTGCATCGCGAATGCGTGGGAGGATCCGCGTTCGCGAAGAGGAAAGGAGGCAAGAGGTGGTCACTCGCGTTGCTCTATGCAAATGCGTGGGTGTTTACGCAATCGCGTAGGTCTGGAGAGGTGGAGAATCGCGTTCGTGCGGACTTGTCCGCATTCGCGTAAGGTTAAATAGTGGGGCAACATAGCGAAGCATTGTCCACGATCGCGATTAAGCACATATGGGCAGAACTTAAATATTTCAAAAATGAGGGTTTAAGTTCATATCACAAATTTGATTTTGGGAGCTCGGTTGGAGGCGATTCTTGGAGAGATTTTCAAGGGAGTGATTGTGGTAAGTGATTCTTACTTAGTTGTGGTTAAATTCCATGATTATATCTTTGATTTCATCATTTAAGTAGTGATTTGGGTTGAGAAATTGGGCGGAAATGGAGGGAACTTCTTAGGCCGAATTTTGGGGATTTGGGTGAGATTTTAATATCGGATTTGAGTAAGTTTGGTATGGTTGGACTCGTGTTGGATGGGTGTTCGCATTTGTAACTTTTATCAGATTGTGAGACGTGAGCCTGGGGGTCAACTTTTGAGTTGACTTTTTGACTTTTGATTAGGAACTTAGTATTTTTTTTATGGATTTGATTCCTTTAGCTCGTGTTGATTATATCGAATTGTTTGTGGCTAGATTCGAGGAATTCAGAGGTCGATTCGCTAGTCATGGGCTTGTTGGAGTAGAGTTTTGCGCGGCTCTAGGTAAGTAACACTTCTAAACTTGGTTCTGAGGGTATAAAACCCTGAACTACGTGTTATGTGATTGGCGTTGAGGTGACGCGCATGCTAGGTGACGGGCATTTGGGCGTGCAACGTAGGAATTATGGCTTGGTCGATTCCGTGAAACTGTATAGTTGTATGATCTTGTTGATATCTGTATATTCTCCATGTGTTAGATAAATTGAGCTGCGAGTCATGTTAGAAATCATGCTTAGGTTACATGTTGGTACTGTTGGGACCCGGAGAGGTCGCGTTGCATATTGAATTATTTGCTTAATTTGCAACTATGTACTCAGTCACAGCTATTATTTGCATGTCATATCTCAATCTCTGTTGCTATTTATTGATACATCATATCATCATTGTTTGGGGTTGATTATCATGTTTCTTGTGAGCCCGAGAGACAGGAGAGATTGATGACTGAGTGAGGCCGAGGGCCTGGTTGTGAGGATATTTATGGTATCGAGCTGCACGCCGGAGCATGTTTTATTGATCCATGCCATGATTGGCTTACTATAGCGCTTGGGCTGGATTTGCCCCTCTGAAATCTGCACACCCACAGTGAGCGCATGTACCTACTGAGTGCGAGTGCGAGTGTCGAGCGTGAGTGCTGAGTGACTGTGAGGAATGAGTGATCGTGAGGATGGAGTGAATGGGAGGACCGAGTAATTGATACAATGAGAGCATGCATATGATTTCATCACTGTTTTGTGCTCCAGTTGGCATACGTAACTAACATGTAGATATTGAGATGCATCATTTCTTATCTCATTCGTATTCGGCATATCCTACCTGTTTGGGATTTATCTATTAAATTTGGAAGCATGTCTACCTTTTTGTATCGTATTTCTGTAATTGAAATGTACCATGTGAAGTTCGTCACTGCTTTCAACCCAATAATTAGACTTGTTACTTGATGAATTTTGTAATCACGCTACACCCTGCACTTCGTGTGCAGATCCATGTATTTTCGGACACGATGAGTGCTGATTCTTAGAGTTGTCTAGTCAGTTGGAGATTTTTAAGGTAGCTGCTCTGGCGTCCGCAGACCTTGATCCTCCTCCCCTGTCCCTCATTTTATTTATTCAGTTTCTACTTCTTAGAAAGTGTATCAGACTTTGTATTTGTATAGATGCGCATGTACTCGGTGACACCCTGGTTTTGGGAAACTTCTGTATTTAGTTGTGACGGTTTTTATCATTTTCTCTGAGATTTTTCTTATTTAAACCTGTTTTACTACATTTTAAATTTGAAAGTGTTGGAAATGTCTTAGTTGTTGGCTTATGTAGTACCATGATAGGCGGCATCACGACAGATTGGGTTTTGGGTCGTGACAATTGTGGAGCATCATGACTCAAACCCGATGTCTTACCGCGTTGAAACTTACTCTCGAGCCCTACAAACATTACCACTTCATAGTGATCATTTAATTTTTTTTTCCCGTAACTTTACTTAGAGTTTGCATGGATCATTTCCATAAACAACAATATATGACATGGTTAAATATAAAGGAGACAGTACAATCTTAGACATATTGATCACAGTCATGAATTTAAATGTGCTGGAAGCATGGCTATCCAGAAAGGCCTTTGTACTAAATAGAATGTTATAAAATTTCACTATCAATCTTTCATGAAGAAAAACTAAGAAAAATAACTCTTTCCTGGTGCTTTTCCATATCATAATTAGGATAAATAAATTAAATAATTATCCACCAAGATAACCAAAGACAAATGTTTTAGATTACATTTATCTAGTCGTTATATGATGATAATTCACACAATCCATACCGTAATGATTTGCAAGCCACATTAATTACTGTTAGGAAATAAAATTAGATATTCACTAGGAGCGGCATATGAATATATTTCACTAAGATAAGTGAAATGTCCTTCCCAAATTTCATTAGCTCTAAAGAAATCAGTTATATTTCACTAAGATAAGTGAATTAATGCCTATTATACCTTTATTGTGAGAGCATAATGGGTACTTTGAATACAAAACATGAAAGCGACTAGTTTATGAATTCAAAT